TATAGTAATACTAGTAATTAAATAATAGGCTAGATATAAGATAAATACTTACTACGAGGGATATTAAATCTTCGCTTAAAACTTATTAAGGCTATTCTTTAACCATTGTTCTCTCCTCTTATAAGAATTATTAGCTCTTAATTATATAGACTTTATTAGCAGCCAAAGACTAAGAACTTACTGGCCGATAAGTCCAGCGAATAGGTTCGAAACAGTCTAAATAAGTGTTCTGTTACTACTGTCTAAAATTATACCGGTAGAAATAGATTAAGCTAGTATTTAGGAATCGCTTACGCACTAGAAATTCCAGCCGTATTAGTATTTTACTTATATTAAATCCTTTATAATAATAAGATAAAAACTTACTTTCTAGTGGCTATATATTAGTATAGTTCTAGTAGTTAATTAGTTTTATAGAGTATAAATATATACTTTCTATTTTAGATCGCTAGATTAGTATATTACTTAAGGCGTATATTGCCTCTTATATAGAAATACTTACACACTGTAAACACTATAATTGCCCACTCTATTAGTATATAGCTCGTAGTTAAGCAGAGGTTAGTAATTATAGAGTAAATACTTACCCGCTAAGTTTAGTTTTTATTAGTATTTCTTCTTATGCCTAGGTTGCTGTTTTCAATACTTACAAACTATAATCCCTCAGCTTATTTAGTATATACTATTTAAGAGGATTAAATGCTCTTAATTACGCACCGCCTAAAATTAAGGTTTTGTTAATATCCGGCTGGTAGCCTAAGCAGCTATCCTTATTAAAGTTCCTTACCATCTAAGAAGATATATTAATACTTCTATCGCAGTTAAGGTATATAGCTTGTATAGATATAATCACTTACAAGCTGAGGTTATATGTATTAGCATGCTCCTAGAGGATAAGATAAAGCGTATTGCCGGAAAATGCTTACGAGCTATTTTAATAAAACAAGTCAGTATGCTTATAGTAGTTTGTGATTCTAGTTATCGCAAGGTGAACACCTACACACTAGATTTGCAGCTTATGTTAGTGTGCTCCTAGCAGTTGGCAAATGGGTTGCGCAGCAAACACTCACATGCTGCAGTCACCAGGTATGTTAGCATGTTAGTCGTCGTAAGGGGGTTTGGTTTATGAGAAAATGCATGCTTACACACTAGATCCGTCGGCTATATTAGCTTGCTACTCGCAAAGAGACATCGTCGGTGGTTGGACGAGCACCCACATCCTAAGTCGTATATAGTAAGCATGCTGGCAAGAGTTCAGAAAAATTGACCATATAGTACTCACATTCTAGAGACGCCACTATATCAGTACGCATGATAGTGGTCAAGAGACATATCCTATGAAAGATGAATACTAACGCACTGCATCCATCGGCTGTATTAGTGAATCGGTAGTAGATGAGAACGCGAATTGCCAGCAGTAGCAGTAGTCAGGCTTTTTTGCCTATTCGGCACCTACAAACTGGAGTTGCCAGTCCTGTCAATGCACTGCTACCCGTTGCGGGACGTTCGGAATCGTGGATGATATTAACTTACTAGTTCATGTTTCTATAGTCACCAGCTATATTAGCATGGGCACTGGTGGCCGTATGCAACTGCGGTTGCACCTACGCTCTGAAACCACCAGTTATGTCAATACGTCACCTAGCAGTCCAGTCACGCACGCCTCCGATGGCAAAATGGTCACTCACCGGCGGTTTTTTCCGGTCGGCTGCCTCCAGTGATGGCATCGCTAGGGTCAATCCAGCCAGGGCCGTGAGGTAGAAAAGGATCGGTTGCATCTTTACCAATTTAGACGGCGTGCTAGCTGACAAATCGATTGGGTGGAAACGCTTGGAGAGAATAGCAGAGTTGTGTGGTGGAATCTAACCTTTTAATACTCGCCATAGGAGGAGACTGCTCCAGCCCGGTGGGTTAGGGTTCGAGGCACGCAGCCAGCCTTTTCCGGTGATGCAGATGGGGGGTTGGATTAGGAATTGAGGTAAGTCAGGGGAGTCAAAAGGGGGGCCTATTGGGCTCGTGAGAGAATTTCCAACATACTTAATAGTATTTACTGGTTAAATGCCATCACTCCCCATCCTCTGCTACGCACCGGCCGAACAGCGTGCTGCGCCTAGCATACCTTGGATAAGCAAAAAGCTACGCAATCGATCAGACAAGTCTCCTCATACCTGAGCACTTCTGCCCCCAGTCTCCCCGGTCGGAGGCGGTTCTGGAGATTGTGCTAGGCCCTGCAACTAAGACACATTTACTTTATTATGATGATCAAAATCGCGCGGGTGGGCGGTGTGCGAATCCTTGGTGGTCGTCTCGCACGCCACACTTGTCCGTCCCGAGCTGATCACATCTGTCTCAGTCATCGTCTCCAGGGTTTCCTCCCTATAACGGCTTTTCCCATCTCCCAAGCGCTTAAGCTGGTATTCTATCCTGGCTATGACCAACCAGTCAGATCTCCTTCGAAGACCCGCGCCTTCTCCCCAGCCTTACGTTTTCATCGGCTAAAGGCAGATAATCTTGAGGATTTCCTTAATCCCGCTGTTGGGGAGCAACCGTCAATTAGGTAAGGGATGCATGTGCAAGCAGGGCCCAAGGAACCACCCACACACAACAACACAAGGATAACCCATCTCTACGCATTAAGGCCGAGGGAAGTTGCAATTTGGTATCAGCACACCTAGACCATTAGGGTATGGCTATATTAGCAGCTACATCAGGGTCTGGAAGAGGTATATATATACGTATAAATACCCCCTTGGGTCTCACATAGCTAGAAGAAGGGCATGTACATTTATCACATCGATTCATTGCCCCTGATCACTTCCACATGCGCTCTCGAATGTTCGAGACCCGCCTATAGACCACCACACTTTATTGGATACGACGCCCTCGGCAGGAATGCGTTTTGACTTATCCGGTTCTCCATTTAGGGCGTGAACAGAAGCCTGAATGTCTATCCACTTCCGCAAATGTCTCAATCATAAGATAGGTAAAGCTCCAGCTTTCTCTCATTGCCAGATATGACTTCAATTCCTCGCAAAGACAAATGTGTTCTCGGTCATGCTCTTAGGCCGCCCTCCTAAAGCTTTTATTCCGTTGCGGCGATGACCTGATGAACCCGATGACGTTGTGCAGCTCCCAACAGGACATTTTGTGAGCTACCCATCCGAAGTGGCGGAGATCTTGCTTAGCGAGTCCTCATATGCTATCAACCTCGGCCCTAACTCAGAAGTCTCGGCATCTTTACCAATTGGAAAGCACGCCTAACGAAGTTGAGTATATATCCATTGTACATCCGACGTGCGTTGTATCGTTAAATTTCATTGAAGATTGAGCTGCCTATATAAATAGTAGAGATATCTGTCGTTAGCTGTCCAATTATTAGAAACGATGGCGCATTGATTGCGTTGAAGAATGCAGAGCGCTGGAGGCGTTGTTCTAGATATGCGAAGGAGGACATTCTGGCATCCGAAGATAAAACCGACTAGCAGGCTCCCCTGAACAGGACATTCCTCAATATTTCGCCCCAACCACCTTTTTTGTGACTGCTAGCGATGACGTGCAGCAAGCGAGCAGTTCGTAGGGAATGCAACCTACCACATTCTAGCCACCGATGGTCTTGTTCACTGAATCTCGATCCCGATTACGTGGTCCTATGTGATAATGAGCTATAAAGAGTTCCTTCCTATTCTTCGGCATAGCCCGTCGCCTGGGCACACTCCACTTAGACATCCCGGTCATATTTTACGTTTACTTTTCGACTATCGAAACGATGAAGATTACAGCTTCCTTTATTCTCGCCTACTCAATAGGTACGGCACTTGCCGGATCTATATACGGACGAACAGACCTAGAAATGTCCGGGAAAGATAAACCGTGCGGGGAAGCCTTGCCCGCAAAAATCCACGATTTGGCTCACTGCATCCTGTTTTTCATTCCCCAAGGCATCACGCATCCAGAAAATTACCGGCACTTTAAAGATTGCTGTCCTTGGAGCAGGAAGAAGGATTTCTAACTAGAAACTTAAGAAACAAGGGGAAGGAAAGAAAACCGGGCTAAGAGGTTCGAGGGGCAGACTAAGGGTAATAATTATTAAGTAGGGAGACTATATAGAGGAGGAGTCGCTCCTAGATAAATACCATGCCCTACCGAGAGCGGGCATACTCCTATAACCAGTATAGCAAAAATGCCTACTTATAATATAAACTATACTAATTAAAATAAATATAATAGCTTATAATAGATAGTATAAAAATACTATTATATAGCGTTTTTAAAACTTCGTTGCTATAATCTACTTCAAGTTAGGTCTATTACCTTACTTGTATATAAAGAGATGGTAAATTAAGCGTATTTTCCTTCTTTTCTTTTTTCTTTTTAACCTTATAAAATATAATGAATAGCGGCGTTTTCTTCCCTGGGGAGGAACTAATAGACCTTTCGTTACTACGTTCCTCAATTCATAGTCGCACTGAAAGTGTAAACCGCAGTTCGCAGTGCAGTGCAGTTTGTCGCTGGCAAACGGACGGACAGTTTGGTTTGGCCATCAGGGTTACACTGCCAGTTCAGTGCGCCCAGGCCGACTGCACTGGCAGATTGGTCTGGTGGAGCCACACGCACCGAAGGGGCCGTTTGGGGTGTTCGCACGCCCTACTTGCAATATTAGGAGCCCCGATATGGATAGAAAGCCTGGAGCTGCCTTATGACAACCTGGATATGTAACATATGGCTTAGTTGTGTACCACTAGCCGGTTCATCAATTAACATCAAGACACCTGCTATGCTCAAGACACACGCTTTAGGAAGTCGAAGAACCCCTTCGGGAGGTTTTTCTTCTCCTTCTCCAACCGGTCCAGCGCAGCGAAAACTTCTTTGTCGGTGAAGCCTGCGACACGCACGCCCTTCTTTATATACGGTATTGGTATAATGCGCCCGCCAGTTATACTTAATACTTTCTATATAAGTCCCGTTAGAGCAGAAATAGGTTTTAAGTCCACATTAGGGTATCATAGACGTACCTCGCGTGTAGATACCAGGCCACCGCTCGTATGCTGCAGCGCCTCGTTTTCCTTTAGTAATGCCGTGGCGAAATCCAAAACGGTATCAAACTTGGCTGTAACCTCGGTCGGCCTGCATCTGTATGGGATCCTCTCGTTTTGGAATAAGTGCCGGATGCAGTAGAATGCTAGATCTGTGCCTTTTTGCGCAGGGTTATAAGTGCCAAGCAGCATGCCGACCTCGAGAGCACCATACGCGGCGGCTTCATCGTCGTACTTGGTCCTGGGGTTGCGTTTCCTCTCCGCCGCAATGCGGGCGAGCTTAGCCAAGCCGAGGCACTTGGGCGTCATTTTCCCACACTTCCTCAATGAGTTTAGGGTGACGTTCCAGGCCGCGGGGTCAAGGACTCTAAGGTCGCCCTGCGAGCGGTCTTTGCGCGAGTAGCTGCAGTCGTGCTCGATGCCGAACTCCTCGCTCTGAACTTCCTCCAAGTCAAATGTAGCGTTGAGGCCGCGCTTGCTCTCCATCAGTCCGTCGGCCGTGATGAGGGCGCTCGATACCGGAGAGACGCCGAGTCCCCGAAAGCACGCGACAATGATATCCAGCATATTGACTTTTCTCCCGGAATGAGGGAGAAAGCCATGGTTAGCGAGCGTATTTAATCCCGGGCACGAGCTGCGAGCTAAAGCATGTACGTTAGACACCTTGCTCTCGCCAATACAACCGGATGTCTTTTCCCTTGGGAAAAAAATTTAGAGGGAAATATATATTTACAGTCACCACGCCTGGGAGGAGCCCAAGTTGAGAATAACGGATCTGCCGGGTCTATAATCGGCCTGTGCTCTGGAAGGTGATAAGTGGGCGGACCGGGCATATACCACCAGCACTTCCTCTTCCATTGATTGGCATCGCCGTCTTTTGTAGCCGACCCATGGAAGAAAGAGCCAAATAAAGGGATTTTGTGGCCAAAGCAAATCGCCTGCTCGTAAGCCTTATGAAAGAAAGAAGATGGATCGAAACCAGTCCCGGCCTGGGCCTCGACCCTCACTGACGTCGTGTCCGATAGAGGAGTCGCGGTTCGGAGCGCGACGAAGATGGCGCAAAGCTGTAGCTTCATGGCTCTCGCAGGGAGTGTACAACAAATATAGACAGTTAGCTCTAGCGCGGCGTAAAACGATGGAGCTATCTATACGTAATGGCGGTCCGGCATCGCCTAATATACCACAAAGTATCGCTCGTCCATAACATTCTACTTAATGTGCTAAGCCTCTCTGGCTTGTCTTGAACTGGTCCTACACATTCTGCGTTCCACTCGGGCCCCCTTTCCGCTCCCTGTGCCCGATTTTTAGTCTCCCTGTGCACCTTACCGTACTTGGCAAGACTCCACACGTAGACGCGTAACACACCATAATACACACAATTGGCGTCGCGGCAAGCAGCCTCCTGGTACAACACCACAAGCCAAAATAACTCGTGATAACCACCCACCTCGCAATACCACATCGCGTCTGCGCAGCTAAGTTTCCAGAGGCACACAACCGCCACAAAGCAGCTAATCAAACCGTTCTTTTGTCAAGATGCTTCTCCAGCCCCCGCCAAACAATATGCCACTCTTTGAGACCTTTGACGATGCGTTTGACGAGCTCCAGCGGCATGCGCGCTGCCAAGGCTACGCCATAGTTAAGTTCAAGCCAAGCAACTACGAACATGGGCTCCCACGCCGTTACGACATCGTATGCGCATGCGGCGGCCGTGAATACAAGTCAGCCTCGTTAGGACTCCGGAAGACTGGCACTAGGCGGACTTCCTGCCCGTTTAGAGTCAAGGTTGTGCGCCTGAAGCTAGAGGAGGCCTCTGGCGAGTCTCTGTGATGTGCCCAAGGCACAACCATGAGGCCAATAGGCCGGCGCCTTCCCAGAATACCGGCGCCTTCATCCACATCAACTCCAGCAGGTTAAAGATTTATCTCGCGATGCTGGCTTAACGGCGCGGCAGATCCTTCTTGCTCTTCGGGCTAAGAACCCGCGGCTACTTGCAACAGAGCAGGACATCGCGAATATCTGTGCCCGGCTTCGTCTCCGGAGCTTGGGGCACATACATCCACACAAGCGCTTATTGCCAGGCTCGACGAGGAAGGTGCCTTCCATAAAGAGCTACTTGACGATGAGGATCGCTTCTTCTACCAGATTGTGGGCCTTGCCCTGCCTTGCGGCTTTGGGCACAACATTCACACCTCATGATGGCCGACGTAACGAACAACACGAATAGATATGGCCTCAAGCTGCTAGAGATCAATGGAATCACTGCCTTGGGCTCTATCTTCCCTGTGGCTTTCTGTTTAATCCCTTCCGAAGACACGAACGCATTTACCTGGTGTTTTATACAGCTTCGCGAGTGGTTACAGTCAAAGGCAAGGCTAAGAGGCGAGGCTGACGGCAATGCCTTTATCCCACACGTTATCATCACGGACTATGACGCTGCTGCGCGCGCTTTGTCGGCTACCTTCCCGGACTCGCAGCTACAGGTCTGTACGTGGCATATCATGAAGAACATCACTACAAACGCGAAGAAGCGCTGGCTTGGCGACTATGACGATGATGACCCATTTGACCCGCCGCAAGAGCCCCAAGACGATGAAGACCCCGGGCGCTCTGCAGCTACCGGAGCCACTGCCGGAAAAGAGGCCCTGTGCCTTCACAACAGCCTTCCGGTCCGTAGTGTATGCCCCGACCGAGGACGAGTTCAACAGCCGCTGGGGCATCGTCAAAGGCGCCTTCTCAGACCAGCACATTATTCTTAGGTATGTAGAAGAGATCTGGATGCCTGTACGAACACAATGGGCGCGCGCTTGGGTCTGCCGTTACCGCAACTGGGGCCACACAACGACCTCGCCTTGTGAATCCCTTCACTCAAGCTCTCGCACCTTCCTTCGCAACGGCCAGTCGAACCTGCTTGAATTATATCATGCCTTGCAACTACAAGCCTCAACCTCACGAGAACACCATGATCGGACCGTTGAGCGCGAATCACGACGGACTCGCGACCCGTTCCGGCTACCATTATATGAGGATGCCGTCGAGAAGGCGTCATATCGGTCTCTCGAGCTTGTACAGAAACAGGCACTAGCCGCCTCGGCCGGCCTCCTCAAACCACAAGAGCGGCCACTTGGGGAATGTGGGAATAGCTTCACTGCCCAATACGGGCTGCCCTGCAAGCATATTATCGCCTCGTACCTCCAGGTCCAAGGGGAGGGGACTAGCCGCAAAGTTATAGCTACAAGACCCTTGCCCTTGAACTTGTGGGACAGCCACTGGCTTCTACGGCAGGATCTTGCCGTCACAGACCCATACAGACGAATTCGCGATCCTCGAGTCATTGCCCGGCGCCGCAGACCAGCCAGAGCCATAGCCTTTGCACCTGTGGCCACGACTGCAGCCGTTGCAACAGCCGCTGTAACTGCACCTGTGGCCTCGTCAGCAGCGGCAGCAGCAGCTACCCCACCAGCTTCGCAACAGTCACAGCCTCGCGGGCAACAGCAACAGCGGCAGCCAGTCTTGCAGACAGTGCTTTCGCGGCTTGAGGCTATTGGCAACTATCTTGGCATTGGGCCGGCTATAGCTTCGTGGTCGGTGTCAACACCACAAGCCGACATCGTGATCCGTCAAACGCCTACACAACCGACCTCATACCAGCAGCCGCAGACTTTCCGGCGCTCAGAGTCTGCCACCCAACTTATGCGGCGGCTACCCTCCGCCTTCGAATATCACGAGCCGCCGCGGCCGCCGCGTCAAGGAGGTTCTCAACGGGGGCATCGCGAGCGCCCTCGTCTCTTTACCCTTGGGTCCTCGACCCCTCTTTCTAGCACCCTTACATCAGTGGAAGGAGGATTCATGCCGCTCCCGGCTTCGCAGATAAGTAACGCTACAGTTAGAGGAAAGGGGGAACGCTCGCCACGGCGGAAAAGAGGCCACGCAATGCGGCAGCCGTATGAGCTTGTAATGCGGCTAGAAGATATGGAGGAAATGTGCGAATAGCTTCAAGTTCATAATGTTCAACGCAAGACTCTACAATCCGTGACTACCTTCTAATTGGTGTGTTGCACACACAAATGCATGTCTTGGCCGATTCGCGATGCTTCTACCTAATACGGTAAGGTGCACAGGGAGACTAAAAATCGGGCACAGGGAGCGGAAAGGGGGCCTTCCACTCGTGTGCATTCCGGCCACGGATTCAAGTCTGTACACGCTATGCCTCATACAGCGGGACCTGGATGGTCTGCTCGGTGCCGCATACCTTGCCAGCCTAGAACCACTTAGTGTTAAGCAACTAGCGACATCATTACGTCTTCTCGGCCAACTTTTCGAAACCAAGCCTAAAACACGAAAAAAGCATACGCCTAGAACCGTCGCGAATAGCGTATTACGCCCCCCTAAGTGCAGCCTCGTGCAGGTACTAGCGGGTGCGCAATATGCTACCAAAGATTGCGAATTAGGCGAGGTTCTCCCCTATACGGGTGGAAAACTCTTCCCCGCCCTCGCTGACTAAGGGTAAGTGCCCCCCCGCCAACGGGACCTAGCCCGGACCCGACTTAGGACCCCGGCATAGACCTAAGGAGGGCCCCCTTAACTTTAACCCCTTAACCTAAGGGTCGAAATAAGCACCTTAGAGGCTAGGGCTTACTTAGAAGAAGCTTTAGAAGGCGTTAGCCTTCTAAGGACCTTAAAAGAAAGGCCTAGGACCTAAGACTAGGACTTAAAGGATATTAAGATAGAAGATAATACCTAGCCTATATTAAAGACTAGCTGCTTTAGGCTTAGCCTAGCCCCGCCTTAGGCTAGCTACTTCTAGCTTAACTAGCCCTTAAAGTAAGTAAAGGGGTAAAAGAGAGCTGCCTTTAGTAGCTTTATTTATAAGGGAATATATATTATAGTACGATTAGTTAGGTAGTAGAGATAGCTAAAGGTACTACGCTATATATATTATATTCTCCTCGTTATAAGACTAAAGCTTACGAGAAGAGGGATTTCTCCTCTTTTATTAGAGTAGCGAGTAGTCTATAATAAGCGAGCGGGGTAGGTACGATTCCTTACTAATACCCTACTAATATATTAGTACTATATACCTAAGTGCTTTATTAGCCCGTACCTCTTAGTAGCGCTTTTATAACTATCTCCCCTCTTATATAGACGTCTTAGCTATATCTTTAATATATATTACTTTCGCTATACTATATATATTTAGTTAGGAAAAGAGGTAGTTTTAGGTATATATCGCGCGTATATAACGACTAGTATTATACTTAAGGGATAAACCTATCGAGGGGTTTATATTAGTAGATATAATAGGGCGTGGTCTAAGCAATAATATATATATTATATTAGTAATAAGTTAGAGGTTATAGACTATAGACTATAACTAGGTAATTAAAATTAGAGATAGAATCGTAATATAGATCTATATTAAAAGCTAGAGAGCTATCTATCTAAAGGAGTAAAAGTAGGTAGCTATATATACCTATAGAGACTATTCTTAGATTACGGTCCTAGCTATAATCCCTTTTATAGCTTACTATAGCTTACTTATAAGCTATACTCCTAAGTAGTAATCT